CCGATGCCTGGGCACTTCCGCTTCCGGCCGGGCGCGCGTCTCGGCTCTCCACGCCCCCTTTGTTCCAAAATGGCGGTTGTGAGCCCCCCCCTTTTCACGTGGGCGCGGGCTGGGCAGGGCGCGGGCTGGGCAGGGCGCGGGGTCGGCCGGCCTTCTCCCGCTGTCGCCCTTTGCGCCGTGTCCTGCGGAGGCGCCCGCCGGGATCCCCGCCCTGGTTCTGGTCGTGGGGCGCCTCGGGTCAACGCGGGGGACGCACGCGGGTTTTCTCCTGAAAGGGGGGCGTCTCGTGTCTTCCTAAAGTGTCCCTCCCACGCGCGGGCACTCTCCTTACATGTTCCCACCATTGCAATAGGGGGCGTCCCTCATCCCGCCCCAGCTGGACACAAGCCCCGCGTCCCGTCCAACCCCAGGCTCGAGGCACCTAGAGTCAGCCTCGTAAATCGCCTGAACGTGGAGATGAGGAAACAGGCTCTGAGCGCGCAGGGGGATCTGGTCCAGTGGGGAATCGCAGGGGAGGGTGAGAGGCAAGTCCTCCTCGGGATGCCGAGTTAGCACCGGGCCGTGCAGGTGCCGATCAGTTTGGAGGCTCCAAGATTATTAGAATTGGGAAAGTCGCTAGTTAAGAAATCCCTCTTGTCGCTCTGTTTCGGTTTAAGAGTGAAGAAACTTAGGCTGAGGGAAGGTGGGGGACTTGAGAAGGGGCGCAGCAGTTCTTTTTCGAATCCAGCCTAGAGTTGGGTAAGGGGCGGCTGGGTGAGGAGACAGCGCCTGGGGAAGAAGCCACGTTGATGGGTGCCCGCGGGGCGTCTGCATTTACGTGAGGTGTCGCCTAACAGCGCAGGCTTGGGAGCTGGGCGTACCTGGTTTACATGTCTACTTTGTTGCCTCGTAGCTCTGCTACTTGAATATTTTTGTGCTTGTTTGTTTCGTCTGTGGATTGATTGTTATTGTTTTTTTGTTACTGATTTTTCGGAATTAATAAGGGTGGTAGCAGTGATAGGTAAACTCCTAGCGTTTTTTGTTAAGCTCTTTGTGTGGTGTTTTCTGAGTGGGTCATTGTCACAGCTCTGTGAGGCTGAAATGATTTTTTTTCATTTAACAGAGGAGGAAACAGGCTCAGAAAGTTTAAAAACTGTCCCAGGCCTGGTTAGAGGCAGAGCTGAGATTAAATGGGATACCATATGTAAAGTGTGTGGCGTGTGGTTTTGTATACACTAAGTGTCTAATAAGTGGTATTTCTTACTGTGAAATCATCTGTAGCGTAGTGAGCTCGTTCTTAGGAAGTAGAGGCAGGTCCTCGGCTCCCTCAGAGATGGTGTCCAAGTTGAGGAATGGCAGGGAAAGGTGTTGTACAAATGTCATTCTGCCAAGTCTTCACACACCTGGTGGGTAGACATGACCCTCGTTTAAAAAAGAGAAAGCCGAGTGTTAACAGGTTCGATTGCTTTTTCGTGGTTTTATGCAGTTGGAAAGCAGGAAAGCTGAAACTGACCCTGAGGCCTGGTGGCTGCAAGGCCAGGTTCCAGTACCTTGGTCCGCCAGGTGGAGCTGGTTGAGCCCTTCTTTGAGGCTCTTGCTGCCGTGCCCCTGGGTTCTTGTCCCCACTGGTATGTGGAGGCCAGTCCTTCAGCCCTGGACCATCTGTGTTGGTGGCGCTGATCCCACAAGGTGGCCACAGCGTTTTGAGCCGCTGAAGCTCCCTTTCTGTTCTGATCTGTCCGGGATCAGTGTGTGTCTGGGAGGGGGAGCTCTTGCCTTAGGGGGAAGCTCTGCCCACGTGTTTGTGTCTGTGGGCTGGCCTCTTCCCAGCTTCAGCCCCTGCCTAGCAGTACCTGTGTTTGCAGGGAATTAATTTCCTTGCCTGGGTCCCAGGTACCCAGCTGGCGTCACTGCTCCCTCTGTGTCGGTGTCTGTCTGCCTGCTTGTCTGTTTTGGAGCCTTAGCAGCAGAAGAGGCACTTGGGGCTGCCCATCTCACAAGCGTGGAGCCAGAGGCCCAAAGCCCCAGGCCAGCGCTCCTCCCTGTGCCCAGTGCCATGCCTGAGTGCCTCCCTCCTACTTCACACTGCTGGCCCGGGCCCCTGACCGTCCGCTTGTCTTGCCAGTGTTTATTTTTTTGTTTTACGTGCAAGGAGATAATCTCATTGTTATTAGTGGTTTCAGCCGGATCCTGGAGTGTTCTGCCTGACCTGCGTTTAGAAACGTAGCCTGGTGCTTAACTGAACTCACTGACATGACAGGATGAACATTCAGGCTTCACCACGTTCTTGCTTTTTGGCCTTGGGCCAGTCGTGTGACCACCCCGCGCCTCAGTTTCCCTCTCTGTAACGGGAGCCCCCAGCGTGTTTTCCCAAGGATCAAGTGCAAGTGAAGCTATTCAGCAGGGTTTCAGGAAGCGTCCCAGTGTTTGCCACTGTGTTTTTTTCCCTTGTAAGGTGCATATTTTTCCTGGGTTTTTAGTGATTCTGATGTTGAGATGCATTTACAAAAAGTTCATATTTAATTAAATCATAAAAACAACACAAAACACTGGATGAGGTTAAAGTTCGGTTGGACGCGCTCTGCTTATGGCCTCTTCCGCCTCCTGTCCCCAGACACGTGGTGGAGTTTATAGGTACGTTAACACGTGCCTGACAGGGAGTTGAGTCAGTGGTGTCTTTGAACCAAGGAAACAGAGTACAGTGCAGCGCGTGAGTTCCTGGTTTAGCCTGCACCTCCTTCACAGGCTGAGAGGTCTGTTGGTGGCAGTGGTGTCTGTGGTTTTGTTGGCAAGGTTGTGCTTGTTCTTAGGCACCACCCCCAGGCCAGTGAGGGGTTGAAGGATGACTGGAGGCTGGTCTAGAGCTGGCGGATAGCTCCAAGAGAAATTCCTGGCCCCTGGCCCCCAGCCCCCAGCCCCAGCCCCCAACATGCCCCCCCAGCCCAGGGCTGTGAGGCTGAGGGACTGAGGGAGTGAGCTGGCAGGGTGGGGTGGTTTGGGATTCAGGTCTGGGTGGGGCAGTGGGCAGGGTATCTGTCCCCATTCCAAATTCAGAAAGAGGGGCCTCTGGGGAGGGTGGCCTGCGTTATTTACCTGGCTGGGAAGGTATGGGTTGGGTTTGCCTACTTCCTGGGGATATGAGATCCTGCCTGGCACCTGACTCCCCAGGCCTGATGGTGGGGCTGTGGGTGCCAGCTGGTTGAGGAGGTCTTTCCTAAGGGGTCACTGGGTCCCTTCAGGAAAACATCATTGGGTCTCTTGATTCCCCAGCCTCTAGCCCTGCCCCTCTCAGGGACGACCCTGGGGTCAGGCCCCTCAGCCCTCGAGGGGGACCAGGAGCCAGCCTCCTCTGTCTTCTCTGGCTCCCCAGCTCCTCCTGAGCATCCTCAGGTATCTTACACCCCGGGGGCATTTCCAGGCCCTGTCCCCTCAGGTAACCAGCTCCCATCCCCCTGGTCCCCAGGTCCCTGGACTCACTTGTGGACCCAGGAAGCCTGCTTTCTCCCTTCCTCCATCAAATCCCGTCCCTTTGGGGGTGGCCTTCCTGGGGCTTGGGTCATAGCCACCAGTGCGAGGGTGGGCTGGGCCGGGTCCTCCCTCAGCTCATCCTCCTGCCCCCCACCCTTGCCCAGAGCGGGATAAGGAGAACCGCCACCGGAAGCGCAGCCACAGCCGTTCTCGAAGCCGGGACCGCAAGCGCCGGAGCCGGAGCCGGGACCGGCGAAACCGGGACCAGCGGAGCGCCTCCCGCGACAGGAGGCGAAGAAGGTACCAGGGCTCGGGGACCTCCGCTGGGCACGGATGGGGGGAGCCAGCCTGGGAGGGGAGCAGTGGGGGTGTCCCTACACTTAGACTGTGTGTGCTGCTGTGTCCCTGGGCCTCTGTGGCCTCTCTCTCTGTGTGTAACTAGGGGAGGGGTTTGTTGCTGATCTGTCTTGAATTCAGGTTTTTCCCTGTTTCTTTGATTTCGCATAGTTTCCGGTGGGTTGTTGGGGGCGAGTCTGGAGACAGAGTGTTGATTCTGCCTCTTCCTTCAGAAGGGGCTCCCCCCCTTCCCTGAGTGAGGGTCTTTCCTTCTTTTCTACTCTTTCTCTGGTTCTCTGTGGGACTCTTGTCTTCAGGGTAGGGCTGCATGCCGCCTCCCGGGAAAAGGGAGTTTTTGGAGCTGGCCAACATCTCCCCCCGGGCCCCTTTCTGGTTCTGAGATGTTGATTTTCTGTTCTTCTCATGCCTCCTCCCTTCCTAGGCTCCCTTCTCTGTTCCCTCTGCTGCCTTAGGTGAGGGAGGGCGGGGTAGGTGACAGTCCTTCTGTCTCCTTCCATTTTAGTGTCTCCGACCTGAAAGTGGTCTGTCTGGCCCTTTCTCCCTTCCTCTTTCCTGGGGTGGGGGGTTTTGGGGGGGATTGGCAGGGCCGAGGGGGCCTGCTTGCCCCCTGTTTGCCTCGGCCCTGTCCCCGGCCTCGGGGCTCAGTGCCCTTGGGGGGGTGTGGTGTGTGGGGGATCGAGGGTCCCAAGTCACTCTCCCCATGCCTTTCCCTCCCCCACCAGCAAACCTTTGACCAGAGGCGCTAAAGAGGAGCACGGTGGACTGATGTGAGCTTCTCTTCTTGTCCGTTCCCCTGACGTCCGCTCCCGTTGCCTCCCTCCGTGCATCCTGCCCTGCCCTTGTCCAGCCCTGGCCCAGGCACTGGGGAAGAGATTCCACCTGCCCTGAAACGAGCACGCTCCCCCACGCTTGGGCGCGGTCCTGACCCAAATCCTCTCTCTCCTGGAGAGAGCTGAGCTACTGGTGGGAAGCCAAGGGGAGCCTGGGGGGCTCGCAGGCCCACCTTTGGTCAGACTGAGGTCGCCCTGCCCCGCTCTCCCTTCCCCCTCCCCCAGTCGTTCCCCTCGCCATGAGAAGAAGAAGAAGGTCCGTAAATACTGGGACGTGCCACCGCCCGGCTTCGAGCACATCACGCCCATGCAGTATAAGGCTATGCAAGGTAGGCGCTGGCCGCCGCTCTGTCATTCGTTGTTCTGCATTTCTGCTCCTGGTGGTTGAGGAAGCAGACCCCCATTCTTGGGGGGAAGGGGCAAATGAGGTTTGTGCTGTGGGCTTTCAGCCTCTGCCTCTTTGAAATCCCCGTGGGGGAGTGGGGATGAGGCCTCCATTGGGCCGCTGTCAGGATGCCTGGCTTCTCAGAGGCAGCAGTTCGGGGCGGGTGCTGTGGCTGAGCTGGTCCATCTGAGCCTGTCAGGGCACCGGCCCCGCTACCGTAGACGAGGACAGGGGGCTCTTGGAGTGCATGGGGCGGTCCTGGGGTGCGGGGCCAGGGTTGCCCTGATGCCGTCTGATCCTGTTCCGTTCCTCTTGAAGCCGCGGGTCAGATTCCAGCCACCGCCCTTCTCCCCACCATGACCCCTGATGGTCTGGCCGTGACCCCGACGCCGGTGCCCGTGGTCGGGAGCCAGATGACCAGACAGGCCCGGCGCCTCTACGTGGGCAACATCCCCTTTGGCATAACTGAGGTACTGCCCTCCCCTGCCCATACCCTGCCCTACCCTCTCCCGACTCCCACCCGCTCCTCTCCTCCGTTCCCTTCCCCAACCTGCACGGGTCAGACTCTGCTCCTGCAAGACCCCCCGGCCCCCTCCCAGACGGACCGATGGAGTTGAGCCAGCCAGGGGCCGGGCTGGGGGTGGCCCTCTCCCTCCCTCCTCTTCCCCTCTCCCGTTTCCCCTCCCCCAACCTCCTCCAGCAACCCAGGGCTCAAGCACACACAGAACGTACCTACGAATCCGAATCTGAATCGAGAGAGACAGAGAGGGAGACTCGGACACACACACACAGACGCACGCTCCCCTCAGTGTTTTCTGACACGCCTCTCGTTCTCTGCCGCCTGTCCCCATCCTCTCCCACATCCCTCCCATGGTCGCTGCTCTTTTGTTTTTGATCGCCCTGACCCCCACCTCCCTCCCCTCCTCTCCCCTTCCCCTTTCCCCACCCCCTCCCGTGGCACCCCCTGAGAATCCCGAGATCAAAGAGTTGTTTCCATTTCTCTTTAAAGTGAAATATTGTGGGGCTGAGATCCCTCGTAGCAACAAAAAGTTTGCTACCATCGTCGAAGGCAAGTAAGGTCCATTCTGACTTTCTCAACCTGCACTTTGCTACATTTGATAAACCAGCCCCCGGACTCCAGGGCCAGATCCCTCCACATCACTCTTTTCTTCTCCCCTCCCGCCCACCCTGCCCCCTCTCCCTCCGCCCTGCGTCCCTCCGCCCCTCCCCTCTGTCCCTTTGCTCTGCTCTCTGTCCTGCTGCTGCGCTCCACTTTCCTACCATCTCCCTGTTGTTGTCGCTGCTGGACTTTTCTCTTTCTTATGTGTTCTGTCTTCTTGTTTCACTGGTTTGTGTTTTTTCTCCTGTCCTGTTGTGATTTTCCTGCATCTTTTGTGAACGCTCTCTTCATCTCTCTCTTTCCTGTGGTTGGGGCCCCTGTGGCTCTCCCCACCCTCCTGTCTCACCTCCTGGCCCCTGGCTGCCGCTTGCCTCTGCCTCCTCCCTGTTGTCTTTCATTTTCTCCTGCTTCTTTTCCTACCGTGGACTCTATGCCCACTGTATTCCCCTGTTCCCGCCCCCTCCCACCCCCTCATCCCTCCTCCCTCTCCCCTTACCCCCAAACCCCTCTGTGTCTCCCTCTCTCACCCTTCCCCTCCTCTCTCCACCTCCCTCCCCCGCCCCCCCCTGTCTCCTATTCCCTCTGCAGGAGGCCATGATGGATTTCTTCAACGCCCAGATGCGCCTCGGGGGGCTGACTCAGGCCCCCGGCAACCCGGTCTTGGCTGTGCAGATTAACCAGGACAAGAACTTTGCCTTCTTGGAGGTGAGCTGGGTGCGGGGTGGACTGGGCGTGCGTGCTGCTTCGGCTCCCGCACCCAGCAGCAGCCTTTGTTTTCCCTGGGCCGTTCTGCGCTCTCTTCTCCACTGGCTTGCTGTCCAGAGCTCCCGGGGGCTGGGGGGCTGGTCCGGCCACTCAGCCGTGCCCTTCACCACCCCCTTCTCTTTCCTGCAGTTCCGCTCAGTGGACGAGACCACCCAGGCTATGGCCTTCGATGGCATCATCTTTCAGGGCCAGTCGCTGAAGATCCGCAGGCCTCATGACTACCAGCCCCTGCCTGGCATGTCGGAGAACCCCTCTGTCTATGTGCCTGGTGAGTGGGGTTCTTGTCCCACCCTCCCCTCTCCAGCCCAGCTGGAGCTATTTGGGAAGCGGTGTGAGTGCTTCGGAATCGACTCGTCTTCTCGTCCAGTCCCCCAAACCTTTGGGAGTTGGGTGTTCTCCCTGCTTGGTAGAGGTGGCCCAGAGAGGGTGGATTGATGTGCTTGAAGATTCACAGGTCGTAAGTCGCAGAGCTTCGACCAGAACAAGGGTATTGTGGGAAGCGAGGGGCCTCCGGCTCTGCGACCTTGGGTCACTGAGCATGTGTGCGCACGCGCGGGTCAGCGGTTTGTCAGGAAAGCTCCTGGTGTGGGCTCCCGCACCTGGGCGTTCTCTCCTTTTTTGTTTCAGTGTTTCTGTTCGCCTGTGCTCTGGGCCGTTGCCCACAGCCATGTCAGTATCCTCCTGGGTTGGCAGATGAGATAGCAGACCTAGGGCTGGCAGAGCCTTTGGTGAGGGCAGATAGTGAACACGGGCTGTGCAGGCCGTAAGTAGTTGCAGTGACTGTGTCCGTGGCTGCAGTGTGAAAGCCGCAGCCGCCACCTGAACCAATGGGCGTGGCTGTGTCCCACGCGCCTTGACGTCTGTGGACACCGACATGCGGCTTTCCTGTGGTACTCACGTGTCACGAGACAACTTTGAAAAGCTTGCCGGCTGTACAGAAACAGGCAGCAGGCCGGACTCGACCCACAGGCTGTGGTTTGCTCATCCCTGTGGCCAGCAGATGGGGTGTGAGGATTCGGGCCTCTGAGGCCCTGTTGGAGTGTGCAGAGCACAGTGGGGTTGGAGGAGCCCGTGCTGCTGTAGCTGAGCTGGGAGGCCCGGGTCTCAGGCCCCTGGCGTTGTTCTGGCAAAGATGGGGTGAGCACTGGTGTGCGCTGGGAGTGAAGGGAGTAAGCCAGGCCCTTGGGGTTAGAGAATGGGGGGTTCTGCTGGCTGAGGCTTCGCACTGAAGGACGCCTTTTAGAAACTGAGTCAGCACTTTGCAAATCGGGGGATATGGAGTCTTGGGGCAGCACCTCGGGACTTGGACTGGGTTCCGGGCTTGTCTCCAGTGCCATCATAATGGTTTGGGTAAATTCATTGCGTCTCTAACTTTTTTAAAAGTCGAGGGAAGATGCATACTGACATTCTTCATGTGTACAGCCTGGTGACTTTATGTTGTGAATACATGTGTGGGACCATGTCCCACATAAGCTCCAGAACGTTTTTTTGTGCCTGTTCCTGGGAAATTTGATGTGTTTTAACTCATTTTTAATTACCTAAGGAGACCACCCACTTGCCAACGCTTACTGTGTCAGGCACTGTCCCAAGTGTGCTCCGTGGATCATCTGCTTATCTTTGTGACAGTCCCGTAGTACAAGGGTTGGCAAGTGACAACTAGGGGGCCAGATACGGCCCACTGCCTGTTTTTTAAATAAAGGTTTATCGGTGTAGCTGTGCTTGCTCGCGCATCATCTAGGCTGCTTTTGTGCTGTGGTGGCTAAGGTGAGTAGTGACAGAGACCACCTGGCCGAGAAACTGAAAATATTTACTACCTGCCCTTTCCTGAATAGGTTTGCTATCCGCTGCTTGCGGAAACTGTGACCCGAGGCACGAAACGAGTCAAAACTTGCTCAGGGGCATGATTAGTAGTACTCCCAGTGAGGTGTTTTGATTCCAGAGTCTAGGCGCCTCCTTCCCTGTACTGCCTCCTCCTTGTGGAAACGAAGGCCTTGCAGACACGGGGATAGTTGCTCTTGACCACCTTCCCTTAGCCACAGGCTGTTTTCTAGAGGTGGCCATTACTACAATTAAGCAGTAAAGAGATTATTCATTGATCTTCTTGCTTTGGGATTTGCCTACCTGAGGGATCTGGGGCTCCACGTCGCTTGTGGCGGGGTGAGTCTCTTCCTTTGTGAGGGTGGTGGCAGGAAGGAGGATTCTGCCAGTAGGTCAACCACCCTCTGGTCCAACTTTCTGTGTAATAAAGCTAATGTTTTGATCTGCCTTTCTCTTCCAAGAAAAAAAAAAAAATCAATTGTATGACTAGAGGGGAAAAGCACTTGATAAAATTTAACAGACCTTATTATCTGGAAAAGAAACATTTCAGGAACCTAGAAGGCAACTTCCTTTCCTTGATAAAAGGGTAGGGCCCTGAAACTGTAAGCGTGCGTAGTCTGGAGTTGTGAACCTTAAATGCGTTCTCACTGATGTCAGGTGCCACTGTCCAGTGCTGATGTGGGATCCTGGTCGGTCCTCTTAAGACCAGATGGAAACCGGGAGTAGGGAGAGCCAGAGCTGTGTTTGGGAGACAGGAAGGCACAGTAGTCTTTGGATTTGTGAATCAGTTTATCCCTGAGCCTCTGCCCTGTGCCAAACTCACCCAGGGGTGAGTCTGACTTTGCCTCAGGAGGCTCCTGCCTGTGGGGTGTCACCCACTCCCTCCGCAAGACCTTCCTCTGCCACGCCCTGTGGTCGGTGCTGGGGGCACAGCGGTGCCCGAGGCAGTGATGGTCCTCCTGCCGAGGCAGAGGTGACTGCTGGCGCCAGAAGAGATTGCTTGGTTATGGGGGGTCCAGGGCCGTCTTCAGAGGGGAGGGGAGGCTTTAGAGCTGAGGACGGGAGGTAGCCCCTCGGGCAGAGAACAGCTGTGTGAAGCAGGGAGGAGCCTGCTGCTGGTGTGTTTGGAGGCCTGCCTGTTGTGTCAGGAAATGACGTGGTCAGGGGCTTGATTTGGGCGCTAGGATAGACCTGGGTTCCCAGTGTGCGTTGCCCTTTCCCGGCCGAGTGACCTTGAGTAGGTCGCTCTCCTCCCTTGTCTGCGTCAGAGCCGAGTGTCCACGAGGGGTCTGCAGTCACTGCGGCACTGACGGACCACCCCTAGTGCTGGCCCAGGCCTGGCCTCAGGCCCCGTCTTACGTCCGCACTCTGCACAGACTGTTCTCATCTACACCCTCTGCAGAAGGTGCGAGTGCTCTCCCCATTTCACAGATGAGAACACTGAGGCTCAGTGGAGCCTTCCTTGGTGCTATACCCCAGATTTGAACCTAGGGAGCCTGACCCTGGTCCCCCTCAGCACGATGCGCTTCCCTGAGGTGTATGGCATAGTGGATACAGCCCGGACCTGACCGCTGGCGTTCACCTGGCTCTGCCACTCACCCGCTGGGTGATGTAACCTCTGCTCGTATTCTCATCTGCTGTTGGGCAGAATAATGGCATTCGTGCAAAACCCTTAGCTTGCCGAGAGCTGCCTGTGGAGTTGGGCGAGTGTGGGCCCAGAAGAAGGGAGGCCCCTTCTGCCTCTGTGACCTCAGGCTAGTGGTTACTCCCTGTGCCTCGGTTTACTTCTCCTAGACTGTGGGTAGGGTTTTGGAGAGCATTGGGGGAATAAATTGAACGTGGTGCTTAGCCTGTGGTGAGTGAATGCTGGGTCCGTAGCCCCTGCTCCCTGTACAGTGCTTCCGAGCATCCCACCTTGGACAAGTGGGGTGTCTGTGGTCTGCACGCCCCATGGCACCCCCCTGATCAGGCTCAGCTCTGGCGATCCGAGTGGTTGGGTTGGTGCCAGCACTTCTGCAGGGTGATGTGAGTGTGGGCTGGAGGGGCTGAGTGGGTAGTGGGAGAGGGAGCACCCTCCCATGGGCCCAGTGGCTCAGTGTTTGAGGCTCTTTCTCCTTCCTCATCTCACCTGTTCCTCCCCCAGGGTCAGGAGCAGGTGGGGTGGGGCCGCTTGGTGCTGGACTGCAGAGGAAGGGTAGGCCGTGCGGCCGGCGGTAGTGGGCTTTGAACTTGGAAAGTCAGGAGCAGGTCAGGCTAGATGGGTGGTGGTCCGCGTTTCCATCCTCTTGTGTCCAGGTGCCAGGCTGGGGCTCTGCACAGCTCAAGCCCCATGGGAATGCTCCAGGAATTGAGTGACACATTTTGAAGCCTGTGGGGCATTGGGCTGAGCCACCTGGCAGGTGCTTGTCTCTGAATCCAGAGTTCAGTGGAGAGGGCAGGATTGGGGGCGGATGCACAGTGGTGGTTGCACCCACTGAGCTGACCTGACCCTGCTGTGTCAGCCCCTGCTGGGCGCCAGGGACAGAGTGCTGATTGAGCTGGGCATGTCCTAGTCTTCGCGGACGCCAAACAGCAGATCCCTCCAGTGTCACATATGACTGAGGTCAGAGCGCAACTTGTGAGTGTGACTTGCTGGGGTCTGCGTAGCTGTGCCAAGTGCAGGACCATGGAGGGAGGGAACCTAGAGGCTTGATGGGGAGACCTGATTTAGGCAGCAGTGACGGGACAGGGCTCCGAGTTGAGGCCTGAAGGATGAAGAAGGGGGTTATGTGTCATCATGATCCCTCAACAGTAGGGCCAGAGGCATGTGACCTGTGAAGGTCACACAGTGGCAGGTGGTGGGTTGAGTGTGAGCTCAAGTCTTGGTGGCCCCAGGGTGGGAATTATCGCTGCTGTTCCATGCTGGTGTCTATCACAGTGCATCCTGACGAATGCTGCTAGAGTGAGACTCGGAGCCTGGGCAGGTTTGGGAGACACAGCATGTTCTCTGTCCCCTGGCTGCTGGAGTGGGGTGGGTGTGGACGGGGAGCCGCGGGCCTCTCCTTGCAGACTTGCCCAGGTCCTGGGTAGTGCTCTTGTGCTGGGAGTCAAGTCTGCCTCCTTCCTTCTTCCCTCAGGAGTCGTGTCCACCGTGGTCCCGGACTCTGCCCACAAGCTGTTCATCGGGGGCTTACCCAACTACCTGAATGATGACCAGGTAGACCCTCGCCTCCTCCCAGCTTCCCCCCCCCCCCCGGCCTTGGCCCAGACAAAGCCTGATGGCATCTCGGCCCGCTGCAGGTGAAGGAGCTGCTCACCTCGTTTGGGCCTCTCAAGGCCTTCAACCTGGTCAAGGACAGCGCCACGGGGCTCTCCAAGGGCTACGCCTTCTGTGAGTACGTGGACATCAACGTCACGGATCAGGTGAGCCTGGGCCCTGATGCTGCCTCGCCCACCCCCGCCCCCTGCCCCGCTCTGTGTCCACGCGGAGGTCTCCCCTCGGGATGGGCGGGAGGAGGCCAGCCTCGAGCAGGGCCCCGAGTGGGGGACTCGGCCCCTTTCCCTCAGTTACGGCTCTTTCTAAGCTCTCACCCCTTGCCTTCCCCTCTCCCCCACCAGTACCTGGCTCTGGGGTATTGGGGCTTGGGGGGAGGTGTCAGGCTCCTGGCCCCTGACCCGCACCTCTCCCCTGCACCCCCTACCCCTCATCCTCCAAACACAGGCCATTGCGGGGCTGAACGGGATGCAGCTGGGGGATAAGAAACTGCTCGTCCAGAGGGCAAGTGTGGGAGCCAAGAATGCCACGCTGGTGAGCCCCCCGGCACGTCATCTTCCATTGGCTAGAGGGACACCTGGGGGGTGGGACTGGGTGGCGGGACTAGGGGCAGGTCCTCCTAAGCTCTGCCCCTGGCTTTCTTGGGCTGAGCTGGGAGTGGGTGCCTGGGCCTTCAAGGGCAGGGCCCAGGTTTTACTGGGACAGCATCTGAGGGAGGGCTGGGCCGGGGAGGCGGGCCTCGAGAGAGGACGGCACGGGCTGGATCAGGCCCCGTGACGCCCCTGTTCCCCGCTCACCCTACAGAGCACCATCAACCAGACCCCCGTGACCCTGCAAGTGCCGGGCCTGATGAGCTCCCAGGTGCAGATGGGCGGCCACCCGACCGAGGTCTTGTGCCTCATGAACATGGTGCTGCCCGAGGAGCTGCTGGACGATGAGGAGTATGAGGAGATTGTGGAGGACGTGCGCGACGAGTGCAGCAAGTACGGGCTTGTCAAGTCCATCGAGATCCCCCGGCCTGTGGACGGCGTCGAGGTGCCTGGCTGCGGAAAGGTGTGTGTGGGGGTGTCCTCTCCCCCCCACCTCTCGCTCTGTTGCTGTCTTCTTTCTCGCTCTCCCTCACACACACACCCACTCTACTACTATAGCCCAGAGAGGTGTGTGGCCCTTCGGTAGGGGGTTGGGAGTACAGTGCAGTACTGCCATGGCCGAGGACTTGGGCTCTATATTGACGCAACTTTGGTTCAAAACCTGGCTCTGTTATGTGACCTCGTGCAAGTGGTTTGGCCTTGCCTGTGGACTGGGGAGGAAAGTGCTAAAAGTAGTCACCACATAACCCCACTGTGTCTTCCGGGTGCCCTGTTCTTTGCTAAGCTCACCTGTGTCACCCCTGAACTCTCACGGCAGCTCCTGGAGCCCCTCCTCGGAGGACAGGGCCCACACGGTCAGGTGTCTGATTCTTGCGGTCTGATTTCCCAGCCCACTGCGTCCTGTCACGTCCAAGCACTGTGCCAGCTGTCAGAACCTCACACCACGCTTCGGGAGGCGGGGAGTGTGCATGACTTGAGTTTACCCATCCTCTCACTCAGTGACTCAACGAGGTGCCTTTCCTGTTCTCAAGCAGGCCAGGTCCTGGGGGGGGTGTTGATAGAGTCATGTATGCTACATTAGGTAGTAGCAGGGAAGGGAGCAGGATCGCGCTGGGTGCTGTTTTTGGATGGGAAGGTCAAAGTCAAGGTCAAGAGGTGGCGTCAAGCAGGCTCCAGTGAGGCAGGTGGGGTGCTGGGCAGAGGGTGCAGTGAGTGCGGAGCCCCCAGGGCAGAAGTGCCCAGTGTGGTTGGGGACGGCAGGGAGGCTGGTGTAGTTCGAGTGGAGGAAAGCAGAGAGCAGTGGGTGCTGAGGTAGGGGCTGGGGCCCGGCGAGGCAGGTCTTGTAGTGAGAAGATTGGTGTTCTTTTGAGTGAGGAGGGAGGAAAGCCTTTGATAGGCGTTGGGTGTGGTTGAATGCCTGACACTCAGAGATGGTCCCTGTAGGAAGATGGACGAGGGTGGGCATGGAGCGCAAAGCAGGGACTTAGTCTAGTCCTGCAGAGCGGGGACCTGCAGGCTGGAATTTGGATGGGGCAGAGGTGACGGCCGTGTGATCGCTGGAGCTTTGTGAACTACCAGCCTGCTGTCGGCTTGGGGAAAGATGGTGACCTGATGTAATGTAGGAGTGGGAGGCTGGAGAGAAGTGGATGGATTTGGGAGTCACATCTGCCTGGAAATGCCCAGGCCCTGGTGGGGAGTTGGGGATGCCAGGAGAGGGAGGGAGGAGTCAGGTGGGGTGCTGCGACTTCAGGCCTTGGTGACTGGGTGGAAACGGCCGGTGAGAAGCATGGGAGCTGAGCAGGTTTCAGGGGAGGGGGACCACGGTCAGTGTTGAGGGCCTGGCTTTGGGGTCCTGAGACAGCCCAGCAAAGAGGCGTAGGAAGCAGTGAGCTGGACAGAGCCGCGTTCTAAGCATGGGGTCCGATAAAACGCAGGCACCATTGACACACTCATCTGGTTCAGGTGTCAGGCCGGATGAGCTTGCTCCTCCAGCAGTGGAAAGAGCATCACGGGGCGGGGAGCGGGGGAGGAGAGCAGAGGGCAAAAGGGACAGGGCAGGAAGAGGAGGGTGGGCACCGGAGGGCGGGCAGCGTTTCATCTCGCCCGCTCTTCACTGTGGGGTGGTGGAAACACGTGGTCCCTGACCATGTCAGTTTTGTTCGGTGCTGTCATCGGCACTAGAAGGGAGCCCGGCTTGCATAGGGGCTGAGTAAAAATTTGGGGGAAGAACTAAGGGAAAGACTCTGCCTGGTCTCTGGGATCAGCCTGCCTGTTTTCTTTTTAAACCTTATCATCATTCTTTTCAAGCATACTTAAAAGTAGAGAGAAATTACCCTAGTGATGTAGTAACATTAGAGCATATCATTTAAGTTGTATTACAGCACATATAGCAGTACTGTAGTGCCCCAGCACCAGGTTCAAGTTACTAGTATCCTGTCATTCTTTGTTTCTATGTTAGCTTCTCTTTTTTTTTTTGCTGAAATAATTTAAAGCATATCTCACGTATTATATTTCACCTGAGATACTTAAGTGTGTTTCTTTCTTGTGGAATTGGCTTAACACAGTGATCTCTGCTCTGGGGAGCTCACCCCTCTTCCCTGTGGCTCTTGATTCAAGCCTGCCTCTGCTCTTTCTCACTCTCCACACATCTGCATGTCTGCTCTGTGCTCTCTTGTTTGATCCTGGGGTTCTGGAGGATGTTGGGGTAAATGCCCCCAAACCTGTGGTGAGGCCCTCTTTCCTTGCCTCTCACTCCCCAGGAGTTCTGGGTTGGGGAGATGCTGGCTGGTTGCTGTGAGCAAGCTGGCTCATCCTTGGAGGTGGAGAGGCCACCTTGCCTTCACAACCTGCCTCTTGTTCCTGCAGATCTTTGTGGAGTTCACCTCTGTGTTTGACTGCCAGAAAGCCATGCAGGGCCTGACGGGTCGCAAGTTCGCCAACAGAGTGGTTGTCACAAAATATTGTGACCCCGACTCTTACCACCGCCGGGACTTCTGGTAGAGGCCGTGGGGGAGGGCGGGGGCAGGGCTGGCTGGGGGCTTCTCCCCCTCCCGCCCCCCCTCTTTTCCCTCTCTGAAGATGATGGGCAGAGGAGTGACAGCCGAGTGACAGCCGAATGACAGCCGGCAGCAACTGGAATGGCAGCAACTAAGGGTGGGGGGTGGGGGTAGGGGTTTGGGGTGGGAGGGGACTGGGGAAGTGCGCACACAGGCCCACACAGATACACACACCCACAGACACAGAGGGAAGGGGTCGGGATGGGGAGGGGGTGCACAGCAGGGCGGGGTAGGACCCCCATAGCCCCTCTCCAGAACAGCCTCTCCTCCCTTAGACCCCGTTTTTCCTCTCCTTCTCCACGTAGAACATAGCGTGTTTATATTTTATGGCCAAACTATTTTGAATTTTGTTGTCCGGCCCCGTGCCCTGCCCTCTCCCTTCCAGGACCACAGCTCCCGTCCTCTTGGCCTCTGGTCCTCCCTGGTTTCTTATGTAGTCGATTCTCTCTTCAGTCTCCCGGACCTGCCCCCAGCCCCGTGGCCCCTGTCCCTCTCCTACTCTCTGTGGCAGTTTCATATTTGCTAAGACGAATTTGCTCATTAAACATTTTGTTGTATTTTACTTTATGGAGCTGCTCTGTGTCCGGTGTGTGTAACTCCCTCCCCGGTAGTTCCCTGGCGGTTCCCTAGGCCCCAGGCCGAGGCTCGGCAGGAGCCCGGCTGTCCTGGGCCTCTGGCCCCAGGCACTCCCCACAAGTGGCACAAGGGGCACACCCCGCCTGCGTGGCCTGCCCCTCTGTGTCGGGCGCAGGGCGTGGCCCCCGCGTGGGCTCCGTGTCGGCACAGCAGAGGGAGGGAAGGAGGGAGGGAAGGAGGGAGGCAGCCCGGCCTCGTGCACGTCCCTATGGCACTCCCGGTGCGAGGCGGTGGGGGCGTGGCGTCGCGGCCCTGGGGCTGGCGCGGCGGGGGCGGCCTAGCACGGGCACGGTTTTCTCCCTGCTTCCCCCAGCCGGGAGTGCGGGCCGGATTCGGCTCACTGCGCCTGCGTGCACGCCATAGCGCCTCGCGGCGGCAGGCGGAAGTGAGGGAGGTGGTGTCTGGCGGTGGGGCCCGCGCGCCGGAAGTGACGCTGGGGATGGGCGGGGCCACGGAAGCGGCGGCTGCGCAGGTTCGCCGTAGGCGGGGCCGCAGGGCTCGGCGCGGAGGGCGGGGCGCACCGCTATTTCCGCTTCCGGTCCGTCGCCTCTTTCGGTTGCTTCCCGTGCTCTCGGCGGCTCCCCTCCCCCGCCCGGCTCTCCGCGCCCCTCCTGGGCGCCGGGGCGGCGGGGCCGTCGGCGTGCGGCCGTCCGTGCATCCGCGCGTGCGTCTGAGCGCCGCGCGCCCCGCGACACCGAGGCCGAGCGGGGGCAGGGGGCTGCCCGCCATGACCCCCCGGAGCCCGGCGTGAGGGGGCCGAGGTGAGCGCGGGCCGGGGCGCTCGGGCGTCGGTCGCACGTCGGCCCCGGTCGTCTCCGCGGCCTTTGTGTGTCTGCGCCTGGTCGGCTCGGACCGCCCGCGTCTCTGCGGCGTGTCTCCGGCTGTCAGCGCCCTGTCCCCCGCGGGCCTTCGCCGGTGCCCCGGGGTGGCTGCTCTCCGTATCCGTGTTGGTGTTGTTACAACGCGCCGTCCTTGTGTGTCCGCCCTGGGTCTCGTCCTGTCTCTGCAGTGTCGGTGTCTGACGGTCAGGGTCGGCGTTCGCGTCTCCGCCGGGCTTCCGTGTCTCCAGTGCCCCAGGTGTCTCCCGTTTCCCTGCCTCTGCGCCTCGCGCTCTCCCCTGCCTTGCCGTCCCGCTTTCGTCCTCGCACCCGTGTCCTCCAACCCGACTCCCTCTCCGCAGGTCTGGTGCTCGGTTAGGGTCTGCCTCCTCCCCCAGGTTCCTGAGTCTGGTGTGGTGGCGAAGGGCCCGGCTCTGGAATCAGAGGCACGCTGCCTGCCCGCCTGTGAGACTGGGCAGGTGACTTCCCTTATTTCCAGACCTCGGTTTCCTAGTTTGTAAAATTAGGGTATTCACAGTTCCTACATCCTAGAGCCGCTGTGTATTAACGGAGGTGATGCTGGTAAAGTGCTTAACACTGTCTGGCAGATAGGAAGTAATTAACTAGTGGGAGCTCTCGTTTCCATTATTACTTATAGATTTTCTGTTCCACGCAATAAATGTGCGCTAGCGGTCATTTGAGTACCCCGTGGAGAATTTTGTCATATCATTTGTTCTCTATTTAATAATTATCAATCAACTTATTTTGGAAAACTTAGTCTCATTCTAAGCAGTATCTGTGAAGTCTTAGCTTTGATGCACTAGTTCAGTAGTATTTTTTCTAACACAGTTTAGTATAAATGTGTGGTATTAAGATAGCACATCTTTTGATGTTGCTGTTTGGAAATGTTCTGTTTCTTCTCTGATAATGATAGCATAATAAGTAACGTTATTGAGGATTGAGCTCCTATCTGGGGCATGGTGCCAAGCATTTTATGTACCCATCTTATTTAACCAACAAGCCTGCCAGATAGGAATTCTTTCCTTCGGTCCAGAGTTGAGCAAACTGAATCTCAAGAAGGTTGCTCTGCTGGTAGCTGACGGCCAGGATTTGAACCAGAATTTTGTGTTCTGTCCGTTGTATCTCATTTTTCTTGACTCTTATTTCTCAGTGCCAGGTTACTGCCACTTTTTGTTTTAGGAACCCCTTCTTTTTTCTTTATCCTCCTGCCTCACTGTCTTTCCACGTTTTTGTACCTGTTCCTTGTTGTGTCTTTGTCACACCACGGCTCTGAGTGGGTTCTGTGCCTGGGTTTCCCTGTGCCTCTTTCTCTCCTCGTTTCTCTCGTTTCCTTTCCAGTCAGTCTCCTCTGTATTTGTCATGTCATATCTTCATCTTAGTGTGTCTGGTTGGGCCTGTCTTGGCGCCGTGAGCATCTCTTTTCAACTGTTCACTTTTGTCGCCCAGTGCCTGGCTCTCAGCCTGAGTTCAAGGCAGGGGCCAGCCGCCTACCCTGGGACTCACGTCATGGGAGGGCTCAGTAAATCTCCGTCCGTGGCTTGTTGGAGAGGCCGCGGACCGTGTCTGCTCTGGAACAGGCTGCTCTGGGGATGAGGCCTGTGTCCTGGGGCAAGGGAATCGACCTCTCTGTGCCTCAGTTTTCTTCCGGGGAGGTGGTGGTGAATCATGGAGTTGTGAGGAGTAATTGGGTTCCTCTTGTAAAGCACTTCACAGCACCTGGCGCAGGGCAAGGGCTGTGTAAGTCCTTGCTTTGATCATCATCACTTGCCTGATTCCCACCCTTCTATTACCTTCCCATCTCCCTTCTCTCGGCACAGGTTAATTTAAAAGTACAGTTGTTGAAGTCCAAGTGGTCCTGAGGTTGAGTCTGCGCTGCTTTGCCTGCTGTGTGGCTGAATTATTTGACTTCCATGAGCCCCCTCTCCTCATCTGTTAGAACACCACCCTTGGTGTTAAATGAGATAATGGATGTCTCGTGCTCAGCGCCTGGCACACAGCTGCCGGGCTGTGCTGTTCCTTATCTCTCCTCCTCTGACCCTCTGCTCCCCTACCCTTGGGACTCCATGTCTCCATCTCCTTACTCCCTTCATCAGCCTCCTCCCTGTGTGTTCTTGTTTCTGCCGTGGATTCTGCCCCCTTCCACCCCTGCTCCAGAGGTCTTTCCTGCCCTGCCTCCTTCCCTTCCTTCCGGTGCTGTTTATTGAATAGCTCTTCCGGGCCAGCTCCCTTGATGGGAAGAGCCATGTGCAGACGGACGTGGTCTCTGCCCCCGTGGGGCTCACGAGGCGGCCTTAGGTACAGAATCAGACAAATGAGTCTAAAGTCACGAGGGCCACTGAGTCTACTGACCAGGGCCTGGGGAACGGTGACCGCTGTGTTTGGGTGTTTCAAGATCTGGGAATTTAAGTGGAGCCCTTGGGGTGAGTGGGAGTGACTGGGTGACAAGGGAGAGGAAAACCAGGGGACTGTCTCATGACCTGTGTTCATAGCACACTTCCCACTCGCCGCGTTCTCTCAGGTCTCTGGATTACCGAATGAGGCCCCATTTTACAGAGGAAGAAACTGAGGTGCATCTGTTCGCGGCCCGCCCAAGGTGGCTGGGCTCGGAAGTGCTGAGCTGGGGCGTGCCCCCCGGGCCTGTGGTCGGCCACTGCACACTCTGCCTCACTGAGCAGGGGCCCCAAGCAGGAAGGAGCTGGGCACGTTTGAGGAACTGAAAGATGGATGGGGTGTCTGAGATGGAGGTTAATCAGGGCCAGAGCCTTCTAGGCTGCAGTTATGACCTCTTCCTCGATCCCGCGGACAGTGGGGGGCCCCAGGAGGGAGGCTGGGCAGCCCCAGGCCCCACTTGTGTTTCCAGCGTTTCTCTCCTCTCCTCAGATGCGGTGACCCACCAGCTCCTGCTGTGGCCTTGATCCTCAAGTCGCCCCATCTCTCCACACCCCGGGGGGCCTGTCCCCCTTGCTGCTGCTGGCCACCATGTCAACCTCGTCGCTGAGGCGCCAGATGAAGAACATCGTCCACAACTACTCGGAGGCGGAGATCAAGGTCCGAGAAGCCACGAGCAACGACCCGTGGGGCCCGTCCAGCTCCCTCATGTCTGAGATCGCCGACCTCACGTACAATGTCGTCGCCTTCTCGGAGATCATGAGCATGATCTGGAAGCGGCTCAACGACCACGGCAAGAACTGGCGGCACGTCTACAAGGTCAGTGCCGGGTCCTCACACTCCGACCCCTCCGTGGGCAGGCGCAGGGCTCGGGTGCGAGCTCGTGGGATGGGGCTTGGGGGCACCTTGCCTGGAGGGGCGCCAGGAGTTGCTCCGCCCTTCTTAGTTATGGAAAGGAGCTGGAGTTCTGTGTCTTTATGTAAAAATCTCTCTTTTGTTCAAGGGAGGCAACAAAAAACTTTTTAGGGATTTTGACCATTGTGACTTAAATTTATTTTTGAAGAAGTGGCACATTCACAAAGTTCATCCACCGAGAAGGCCTGAGTGAGTGCAGTGTCCGTCCCTCTGTGTGCCTGGAGCCCAGTTTTCTCCCTTAGAGGCAGCTGGTGTTCCTAGCCTCTGTGTTTTCCTCCAGGGTGATTTATGCGTGGACGTCCAAGCACACGGGCGGCC